TTGCATGAAGATATGCAAAATGTATTCTGACAGACTGTGACACACAAGTAATACAAATATACTTTGTGGTAAATTAATTTTTTTTCTTTTTTTTATTTTTAGGTTCCACAAGATCCTTTAAAGCTTTATAAAAATGTTTACTTCTGCCATAGCTGTGAAAATTACTTACCATCTACTGAGTTTGTTATTCCTGCTAATTCCCACACCATTGGCAGATGTCGCTCGTGTTACAAGCTTGATAATGAGGCTCGGCGACGAGAATCATATTTGAAGTACAGACTTATACTAGAAAATCTCAGGAAGTCTGAAGCTGATTATCAGGATGACAGTAAAATTGTTTTCGTAGTTCAGGTACTGTTGGAAAGAGCATTGCTAATAATGGAAAACAGTGGCTTTGACTATTTGTCCTTTATTTCGTGTATGTTGTTGACAGTTTGAGAAATAGGCTAAAAGCTACAACTTCCTGTGATATGGGGCATTCCATACCATGAAGAGCAGCCCTTAAGCTCTTGAAGCATAGTTGAAAGCTGAATTGCACCTCCTGAGCCCCATTATTTGCACTGTTTTAGTAACACGACTGAATTGTTTTGTGTTCCCAGATGGAAAAAAAAAAGTAAAGGAACTTAGGTTTTGACATTCCTGTTCTTTGTCTGTAGAATATCTGTATAGTTGGAAGTTTTGCTGTATGCATTCATTAGGGGATGGATTCACTACATATTTTAGTTTTCTGTGGTTTTTACCATCTTCTGTAATATGTTGCAATATTACTAAGCAGGTGATGCTTCTTAATAATCATTACTGGAACAGGTCCATTTAAAAAAAAAATCATCTGTCTTCAGCAAAATCTCTATTTTAGTTGTTATTAGTTAAGCAAATGAATTTGACATCCAGTATCCACTGAGAAAGTTTTGAATACTAGGTATTTGCAAATTGTTATTTATTGAAAATATTTCACAGCCAAGATTTATTTGACTTTTCTGAGATTTAGCAATAAAAGTCTCTAAGGTACCAACATTCATAGAATAATCTTTGAACTATATTTTCAGTATGTTTGAAACAACAACCAAGCAATCAAAAACCAGTCATCAGTATCCCACTGCTACCAAAACAAGCCATGCTGTGGTTTAGCACTTTGCAAATGTGCTGCCAAAAGGAAGCTTGGAATTTCTTAATTATCATGCCTGAGTTAAGAAATAGTCTCAAAAACCCCTGGATTTTGTAGATGTTGTTTGTCCATACTGGTATTCACCATAGTTGAAAAGTTTTTTGTCTCTGTGTAATTTAGTTCATCTTAATATGTAAACATCCTTCAAAATCTCTCACAGCACTTGTGATGGCGGGTGGGCATTGCTGCACTGAAACATGACTGCTTCTTAACTGCTGAGACCATAAGCCCTCACTTGCAGTTCCATTTGGGACTGTACCATTGCAATATCTCTAGATACTGTGTAATTTTCCTCCAAATTAACTTATTTTCTCTGGAGCCCCTGGTGGTCTAGTGGTAAAGGCACGGCGCTGTCACCGCCGAGACCCGGGTTCGATTCCCGGTCAGGGCCACTCCCGGGCAGGTGGAGCTCGTTAGCCCTTAAAGGCAACCCACCTACGTCCTGAGGATCTCGCTGCCACCGTCCAAGCTCGCTTGGCCCCGGCAGATGAACCTTAGGATTAAAGGGTGGGCTCAGTTCCGCGCACACTGTGTCTCACCTAAAAAATCCAATGCGCAGGCTGGAAGGTGTAAAGACCTTCCCCGGATCTTCGCTCGCGAAGACTGGCCATTATTATTAACTTATTTTCTCTAGAGTTGTAAGTATCTAAACAACATTTGTATCTGAAATCACTAATTTCCTAGGTTTTTTTCCTACCATTTCCTTAAATTATTAGATTTTCTTCTGAGCTAATTACCTTTTTTTTTTCCCTTTCCCTCCCAACAACCCTGTCCCCTTCTGCTCTTATATCCAGAAAAGAGCTCTGGGACACCTAGAAATGAATTGGGCACAGCTGAAAGTCTTTTGCAGCAGCTGAGACTGCTTCATTCATTGTGCAGTGCAGCATCATTTAGAGATAATACAAGAAAAATGCAGTTGTTAGTTGCTACACCATGCTAAAAGTAGATGTGTATGTCTATATGAGACATGCTTCTTCCTTCTTAACCCTGCTTTTCCTTTCAGCTTCCAGATCTGCAGTACATGATTGAGAACATATGGAACTGTCAGTCAGCTCTCAGTGCTTGGGGTGAACTGTATGATTTGGTTATGGTCAGATGGGATAAGCAGCATGAGTGGTCTCCATGGAACACTATTCTCCTCACTAAAGAAGAGGCAGATGTACATCTTAAGCTGTGTAATCTTCAGGAGGTAAAACTTGATGGGCTTGATTTTTTACATTATTTATATTATGTTTTAATAGAATCTTGTGACTAATTAGTTGGACCAAATTTAGTAATTACAGTTGTTCAGGTTTAAATTGGCTCATAGTGACTATTACAGTGATTACATCTGTACTATTAAACAACATGGACATTAATCCGGAAGGCATCTGGCATGTACCACTCATTCCATGCACATGAACTCTGTCTTGCCCTGATTCTCCCTCCTGAAATGCAAGAAGTAGTTTCATCCATGCTGCCTACCAAGGACAGTGCCGTGCATATGCTCTTTCCTCAGATGAGATCAGACAACAGCTGGCCTGGATGAAAAGCATAAAGACTAACCATAAATACTATGATAGTTGTGTGCCTGAGCTCTTGTACATGCCCTGGCCTCATTACTTTCTGACCTTATAAGTTTCTCATCAAATAGCAGAATGGCTCTTGTTCTAGAACTTATCCATTTGTCGTCGTAAAATTGATCTCAGTGTACTTCCTTACATGGATGTCATTTAAATACTCCTGACAATGCAATCTTACCGTTTGCAATTAAGCAATAAAGGCATAATTTCTCTTTTGAGTTAAAAATACTCAATGTGTTAGAATGTGTTAGTCATCTTCAAAACTATTTTTACACCAAATTCCATATCTAAACATGGTAGTCCATTAAAAATCTCACTCCATTGAACGTATATGTTAAGAGTATTTAGTTTTGTAAGGCACCAGAGAATCCTGTGAGCTGTGTTTATCCTGCAGTTAGTAATGGATTATTAAGGCTTTCACCTCTAGGTTATTGATTTATGTATGTAGAGGTCTGTGGTCATTGTTGCTTAGTGTCCTTTTGTTCAGGGTGTTCTTCAATTTCTAACACAATATGTGTGCATCAGAAATGCAATTTCAGCTGTTATGCATTGCCCTTCTTTTTGAAAGTCTTAAGAGGATGTGATAACTAAACTGACAGAGCAAGTTAATTGCTGTCTTAATGAAAGTTTTGCTTTGTGGATGAAATATATCAGTTAGGGAATTCTAAAGGTAAAAGCAATTCTGCCATCCATGGTATTTTGAGTGTGTGTGTGCCCAAATTGTGTCTTCAAGCAGACGTGTTTATGTGAGCTTTAGCTTTAGAATGTAAAATCAATTTGAAGCTGGAAATTCCTTTATTACCTCTTCTGTCTCAATTTGAGTCAATAAGGCTGTTCAGACAGTTTGAATCTGTCAGTGTTCCTCAGCATCCATAAATTTCTGCTACTAGCATTATGGCAGGCAGAGATGCTGATTAAGCACGTAGCTGGTTTAATGCCACAAGTCTGGATATCATAATCAAAGAGATGCCATTAACTTGATTGGGTCCAGAGCTTCAGTGGGGGTGGGAGTTAGATCAGAACAGTGGCAGGTAAGGTACACAAGCTTACCTAAAAATGGTAAAGTATTTTCTTTAGCTCTTGTTACAAAAACAGAAGTGTACCAGCTATAGTGAGGAGTCAGCTTTCTTCACTGGTAATGACCAAATCTTTGTTTCAAAAAAAAACCCCAAACAACAGAGTGTGAAATAAGGAAATTGAGGCAAAGTTGAAATGTTGTAAATCAAATCATTGTTTCTCATTCACTGAAACAAAAATTTAGGCCTCTCAAGCACTTTCATTAATAATAATAATATTGATAATGATGACTTTGCAATAGCAAAGGGTTTTTACAACTAGTGATTTATTACATCATCCAAACGACTACTAATCACTAGAAATTTGGGAAAATGTCACCGCTGCATGCAAATGATGACTGAAATGCTGCAAAATGCTTGCTGCCATGATTATTTGTAAATAAAGACTCTGATTATTATCAAAGAGTTTCCCTATAGTCATCACCTTGCAAATGCTGATATTTAAGCATTGCTTTATTTAATTTTCAAACATAAGTACAAATGTTCTTACCTGAAAAAGAGAAATAAATAAGTTTTATCTTGAATTGATAAAAAAGTTATTCTGGTTTTAAAAGGTGACTAATATTTCACAAGGAGTGGTTAGTAATTTTCACTATTGGGCCATAAGATAGCAGTACAGAACTACAAAATAATTCATTTTTTATCAGATGCAAATAAATTATCGGGTTTAGTTTATTAAAGGGTCACTATTTATATTGTCTAAAATATGAAGCAATGTACAGATTTCTAGATATTTTTATTGTATTTGATGGGATTTGAATTTATTTTTCCTTTCAGGCTTATGAAGCTGCATTTATTTTCAGAATAAAACAGAAGCATATCCGGGCAAAAAACTACTTTTCTCAGATTCCAGCGATGTCATCATTTTTGCCTGGGAGTGACAATCAGGCTACTGCAAGTTCCTACAAAACCCATAATTCTTCGATGAAGTTTACTGAAGTTAAAGAAGTTAACTAAATTATTAATACCATTTCCTAGGTTTTAAAGAAATACACATTTTCATCAATACTTTAATTGTATTACACTGCACAAAATAAACTTCTGAGGATAAAATAATTTGATCTGGATCACTTAATATAACTGCATTTCAAGTTTCATAACCGCATTATTTAAAAAATGAAATGTTATTAATGAGCTTTGTAAATTCTAAATTTTTAGAGCAATGATTCTTTTTCTGTATATGCCTGCGTTGCTTGGAACATTCTGTCTATAGTCTAATATACCTGTTGGGCAAATTCTGTTAATTCTTTGTCAGTCTTTAATTAGAAAAATAATACTGTAGCACTGTATTAAATTTATTTTTCTCATCTTAAGTATGTAAGGCAGAAAACCCCTTTAACCTTGAATTCCAACATGAGAACAGAATAGTTATACTCTTGCAAATATTGTTGCTTTGCCTTGCAAACATTTGTGCAAAAGGATAACTTTAATTTTTTAGCTCATCTGGATGGACGTTATTTTATGCAAGATCTTGAAATAGTTGTTAATCATGCTTATAATTTGAAGTGCACAATGCAGACTGTCTGGAACATGCTTATTTTTGAGGAGCTTATGTTATTTGAATTTCCTCTGTAATTAAAAGTTTATGTTTTTGTTTGATTATAGTTGCAGAGAAAAAACATGATATGGTGTAAATTCAAAAAGTCCTACAGAAAGTTGCAAGGTTCTGCTTGAAACCTCTGTTGTAGAGGTGGTTTTGACCCATTTTTTGCTCTGACAAATAAAAGTGTTTAGGAAAAAGCATTAACATTTGCAAAGAGAAATGAGCATATATTTGGCAGCAAACAGCTGGAAGCTGTATTAACTCCCTCAACAGAACATGAACTGTAAAACCAGTACTGGACTGACCAGTGCATTTTAACATCAGTGGAGCCTTTCTATTGATTTTACCATTAATTTCAGAATAATTCTCCTGCAGTTGGCCTTGGCCCATCGATCCAGCCTGTACAAATCCATCTTCAGAACCTTCCTACCCTGTAGCAGATCAGCACTCCCACCCAACTTGGTGTTGTCTGCAAACTGACTGAGGGTGCCCTCAATCCCTCATCTAGATCATCAATAAAAACATTAAACAGGACTGGCCACAGTGCTGAGCCTTGGGGAGCAGCACTTGTGACTGTCCACTGAGCGGATCTAACTCCATTCATCACCAGTATTTGGTAGGTCCTAACAGTGGCAGTGCCATTGAATCACACTGAGAAAGCTCTTGTATAAATAGTTAAAATTTGTTTGTAATTCTAGTGAATTGGATACCTGACTAATATTTAGGACATGGCTGTCCACAAAATAAGTGTCTACCTGTATCAATTGAATATTAATGTCCTTCAAATCAGTTTCAAAAATGGCATTTGAATGCATAGAAATTGAAAGTTTTGGAGGATACAATGTATGGAAAGAGAGCTGAGGCAAAATGGAAAATTATTTTCAGTACTTCAGATATCTGAGTTCTCTTGCTAGGGCAAAGCCAAGTGAAGCCAACATCATTACAATAGTATAGCTTTTGTAAAAATGTATCATAATTGAAATCACAAAAAAATCCTTAATGTTAGTTGTCTTTAATTGCTAATTTTGATAATTATAAATGCTTTATTTATTGTTACTGAATTTAAAACCAATGATTTTTTTACCACTTTTGTCCATACCATTTATAATTGTAATGCATTTGAAAAGGAATTAATTTAAAACTTTTCTCCAATAATTGTTGTATTGCTTCACCTGTTTATGTAGCTTATATATGATATTACAATGGTACTGGACAAGTATGAAGAATGAAAGTGTTCTCTGTATCAGACAATAGAGAATACTTGGGAAAGCTGACTGAAAAGATCAGAGGCAGAGTAAAGATACTACAGTTCTAGGAAAAGTCATTGCATTTTATCAGAAAAAGAAAACTGTTCAGATAAAGGGTCAGACCTGCCAATTTCTAATAGAACTGATTAAATTCTTTACAAGCACAGGTGATCATCTTTGCTTGAATTTCAGAGAGTTACTCACAAGGTGGTTTTGGGATCTGCTGGTAAAAAGGCCTCTGCTTTGCAGCATAGATACTTCCAGGATAATGAGAACAAATGACTGCGAAGTGTCAGTGCCTCTTCAGAGGAGAAGAGACTGTGAGGTGAAATTCTAACCTTCTCCATTCACTTTGATAAGTGGCTGAAGTGATAAGCTTATCAAGTCTCTTAAATTATAGTTTAGAAGTTGAGCTCAGGAGGAATTCACAGTCCTGAAACCCTCCTGAAAGGCTGGTGAGAAATGCTGTGTTAGATTCAGTTCTGTCCTGGACAAAGACTCTCCCTCCCAGGTAAAGGGGATTGGCCCATAAGATCTGTATTGCTGCTTCTGCACTAGAAGAGATATCAGGCCCATCAACACCTACTGTTTTCCTCACAGGACTCTTGTGAGCAAGAGTTTTGGAACATGGAGCAAAATTTGCCTTCAACCCACTTCCAACACCACTGGCAATCCATTCCCAGATGGAAAAATGCTAGCTTTTTTCCCACAGGCACAAGTGAGAAATAGGGTAATTTGCAAGGAAACACATGCATTTTGCCTTCCCACTCCAAGAGGAAAATCCATGCTTTTTCCAGGATGTAAATCTCCCTATTTATGTCTCAAAGGAAGAAGAACTCGGAGAAATTGTTTCCCCTACCTACTTCCCCTAAAAAGATGTTCCAATGAACAAAATATTAGTTGCCTTCTTAGATAATAATTTATTTTAAACAGTGATAAAGCAGGATTATAAATTAAATATGTCAGGGTAGCACAAAGTTGCTGACTCCAATTTGGCATATAGAAAATAATTTTTCAATAGGAAATTATACTAATAGTAAATGAGATTAAAAACAAAAAAATCATCCAAATCTTGGATTCTTTTAAGCATTACTGATTTTTTAAAGAGCCTAAATTTGAATAAGTGTATTCTCTGAGCTGAGAGAAGAAGTTATTTAATATGCTGCTGTTGTATCATGTTAACTCCCAAACTTATTGCTTAAGGATCAAATTTGCATGCAAAATGGATGGGACTTACTTTTGTCACCTGTGTATGCACAGTTCTGATGGCTTATCTTGTACTGTCAGTTGTCCTTGTTACAAAAGTCATCCCCTATAGTCTGACGTACAGGACTTACCTTCATCATTTGCACATCTTTTGGAATCCAAATTTTTGACATTAAGGAAAAGTGGGTTTAAGTTCCTGCTCACAGTTAAAAGAACCACTGTCACCTAATTTTAATTAAATGAACAAAAGTAATATTCTTAAAATATCTTTGCAATAGGTATATTTTTTTCTTATTGTTTAGCAAAAAAAAAACCAAAAAACAAAAAAAAAACCCCACAAAACCTTTAAGAGTGCAAAAAAAAAAGGAGAAAATATAAACAGATACATTTGCGAGGTAAATTTACCAAGGGAGCAAATTAAAATCCCACTCAATAGGTTCTCTTCATTGCTTTTTTTCAAAGCTTTGTTCACTTCAGTTGTTCCTAAGCTGTGGTTTGTGAACAAATACTAAAAAAGGAAGTCAGTTTGTTTTCGGTTAAGAGTTTGTTTGTAAGTAATATGGTAATCTGAAAGAAAAAAAACAACTAGTTTTGTTTCAACAAGTTTTAAGATTGTTTTTATAAGGTAGAATACGGAAAGTATGCCCACCAACTGTGCATCTCACCTGTGTGTGCTGGAAGCATAAAACAGTGAAGAAAATCCAAAGCTCACTATGTGATGACGAGGCCCACAGTGATTAAAGCATGTACAGAAATTGGATGGAGGTCTTGTGGTTTGTGTTGCCATGGTGTTGGGGAGGAACAGGAAGCAGGGTAGAAACCACATGTTCTCGTTCTTCTGCTTGTTGCCCAGAAATATTTTGTACAAACACAGTACACAGTTTTGGTCACGGCAGTATAAGATATTAAGCTATTAGAGAGTGTCCAGAGGAGGGCAATGAAGATGGTGAAGGGCTCTGAGGGGAAGCCCTATGAGGAGAGTCTGAGGTCACCTGGTCTGTTCAGCCTGGAGAAGAGGAGATTGTGGGGAGACCTCATTGCAATTACAACTTCCTCGTGAGGGGAAGAGGAGGGGCAGGCACTGATCTCTTCTCTGTGGTGACCAGTGACAGGACCCAAGGGAATGGCCTGAAGTTGTGTCAGGGGAGGTTTAGGTTGGATATTAGAAAAAGGTTCTTTACCCACAGGGTGGTTGGGTACTGAACAGGCTCCCAGGGGAAGGAAGTGGTCATAGTACCAAACCTGACAGAGTTCAGGAATTGTTTAGACAATAGTCACATGGTGTGACTCTTGGGGAACAAACACGAGCTTGTTAAAGGGAAGAGGTAGGATTTCTAATGTATCTCCGAGGTGGAAAAAGAGGAAAAAGTGCAGTTAGAGAGATGAATTTTGTTTTATCAACATGGAAAAGAAAAGAAACATGTAGATATTTGTTGTATTGCTTCCCTCAAAATTATTAGTTTTGTCGCAGAAATTTGATTTCAGATTGAACTGATGAACAAATTGCCTTATACGAGACAACCGTACTGTAACAGTATGCTTTGGGCTAGGGTAAGTGGATTTAATTGATCCAGTTATGTGTGCTCAGATTCAGAAGTGCATGTCTTCTGACATCTCTTTGTGAATTCTCGTACAATTTTCATTGTGGTTCCTTATTTTTCCCTTATCACAACCTGTTTTAAAAAACCTTAGAATTTCTTTTGTGTATGATCTCTAACATCCTATTCTGATGATGACGTGCCCAGTGCCAAACATGTGTCAAGACTGCTGCTGCCTAATGTAGTCACGGGGTGTAGAAATAGCTCAGTGTTAGGCAGGCGCAAAAATGTGTGCCAGAGGAATTTGCTTCCTGGCATGAAGGAATTCTCTGTGACTGTTTTGATCTTGCATGAGTCTTGTGAAATACTGAAGTCGTGTCAGTTTCTGAAGTGATTATAGTTTGCCCCTGATTTTAGATATTTTTGATTTCTGGGATAGCATCCTCCATGCAATAGATAGGTTAACAATTCCATATTTCAGTGGATACACTCTGAACATGCCATTTTCTCTCTCTCTTGCTTCTTGCTGGAATCTGCAACGGGTGGATTTGTTGCAGATTTCAAACCTGTCAACACCCAAATGTGTGACACCAGCTCTCAATACATGAGAAAGAACTAAGCTGAGGGACATGATAATATGTAACAGGGGAAGATGATGGAAGTTCTGCAGAATACATTCCGTGCAGTAGAGAAAACTTTATATAAACTCCATTTTGAGTGCACAACTCTCTTATCAGCCTGTGTAGGACAGGAGTTTGGACTTCATGACTCTCCCTGGCATTAGAGGAAACAGCCTATGCTTTTACTGCAGAGAGTTTTATGAGCTGCTTAAATCACAAACCTGAGAGTATTAAAAATGTGTAACTCCCAAGTTCAAGTGAAGGAAGTTCATGTTTTGAAAATTCCCCCTGCTGTTAGAGAGCTGCGTCACCCAGCCGCCTGGCTGAATCTGGATAACAGCAACCCAACCGGGAAGTGCAGCTGTGCACACGCTCGGACTTTCTTTTGTGGCTGGCCAGTTCCGTGTGCACTTGCCTGGAGCCATGGCACAGCTCTGCTCTGCTGCTCCAGCCCGGCTGCTGTTCACCCTTGCTGTGCTGTTCAAAATGTCTCTGTCAGTGGACCATGTGCCGATGCTGCTTTGGTCAACTCAGAGGTAAGAAATCTAATAGGAGTGTGATCCTGCTTATGCCATTGCTCGGTGTTTATGCGTGCAGAATAATATATTGTGTACCGTCGATTCTGGTAAATCAGCTCATGGCAATAAAATTTTCCAATAAATAAATCTACCTCTTGGCTATCAAACAACCCAACAGATGATTTTACGCATTTTTATTTATAATTTTAGTGTTTTTATTTATAATTTTAGTGATCTAAGCGGGCAGAAAGAAGTAAATAGAATCCATAGTCTAAAAATCTGAAGTAGATGTGTTTTATTCACCCTAAGGCATCCTTGAGTTGTCTGTCTCATGACTGTTGGAGACATCGTGACTCAAGGTCACACCATAAGGCAGTGTCACAAAAAGGAGCTGACCAAAAACTATGTGGGAAACCTTAATCCTTGCATTTCCTAACTCCTGAACCCTGACTTTTCACTTTAATATTCTTTTTAATACAGGTTTTTAAATACACTGCTGAATGTATATGTACCTGTTGTTAGAAACAACTGTAGGGTCTTGACAGATCCAAAGAGACACATGAAATTCAGGGGTTTGAATATAATTTATAAAATAAGACTGAACCTGTCTTAAAACAACTGGATATAGACCCCTCTTCTTCCGAGAAGGAATTTTATTCATACAGACTTTAAGGATTTTGTGTAATTACTAGGGATTTCCAGAAATATGGTAACCTGGGCAAGTTCAGGTCAATACTGGATATGTACAGTTGTCAGACGACTACGGGCCACTTATTTACCAACTTTGCAATATATCTACTCATCTGTTATGCATTTCCAAAAGCTGGAACTCTGGTTCCTGTGGGACCACTGCATATAGAAATCTGAAAATTTTGCAAAAGTTTGATTTGGTAGCTTTGAATTTTTTTTCCTGAAAATAATAAATGAATATCTCAACATCAAGGGGGTTTTTTATATTCAAAATACTTAGTGATTCACCCCTGTATAAGACAGGCACATGTATGAGTAATAAACCTCTGTATTTAAAAGCAAAGTAAGTGTTGGAAAGAGCTGTTCTTAGCATAAAAGTGATCCTAAGCATCTAAGAAAAGATCAGTGCTTCCTTTGTCCTACTTCCTAGTTTATATAAACAACACACCTATTGTCAATATAAACAAAATCTTATCAGTTAATCCCTTATGGTCATAAAAGCAAACTTTCCATCAAGATGCAATTATCAACTTGTTCTACTGCAGATTGTTCTGGTTTATACAAATCTAGACTAAAAAAATCAGGATAGTCGACTGGTTAAGCCAGTTTCATGTTTCCAGAAATATATTCTCTGGAAGAAGTGTTCCCCTACCACGACTTTTGCATTTTGAAAGAAGTTCTTGTGGAGCTGAAAATAGTTCTAGTGAAGGTCAGTGAAGCAACTGAAAAGGTGGTTAATTTATTTAAAAAATAAAGTAACACTAACAGCAACTTTTGGTTGCTAACCTTAACTCTGTGCTTTACCTCTTGGTACTTTGCAGTGATGCAAGGTTTGCAGTGTGGGATTTACAGGCCTATGAAATGTGGAAACTACTATTAAGAATTTTAGGGAAGTTAACTACAGAAGTGCAGCAATTATCAATGGATTTCTATTGACTTTACAGGAACATGTCCCACCAGTGTAAAATTTTAGTGCTTCATCGGTCAATAGAAGTTGAGATTCACTGATCTATTCCATCCCCTTTGCCACATTATCTGTTAGGATTTGGTATTGAATAGTTGAAGGATACTACAGTTCCTATTTAGAAATAGTCAGGGTTTTTAAAGCCACATCTCAGCTGTATTAGGGAATGTAACACTTCAAAGTCTCTTTTATCCATTATTATTGTACAGTAATCATGCTATTAAAGATAATGTTAGAGATGAAACCTGCAGCTGACAAACACATGTAATGCATGAAGCATAAGGGAAGTGTGATATCAGCCCTTACAGAGACATTAGTAAATCAAATACCTCTTTCCTCTATAACGAAAAATGCAGATCTCTACTTGGAGAAAAGTGGTTTTTAAAAAACAGCAATCTTTCTCCATTCCACTTGGGAATAACTCAGTAGGTCACAATGTCCTGCTTTTCACAAAGAAATACTAATATATCACTGGGTATTCTCCAAATAACTTTGTCATGACAAACTTTCCTTTACCTAAAATCGGCCTTTAAACTAATATTCCTTGGTTGCTTTTGAAGCAGGAGAGATTGAGAAATTCTTACTGCATATGATACACAGAAGAAATTTGATTTAGCCATTTTGAACCAATATTCCAAAGAATTTCTCTCCCTCCATATAAAGGGAGGGAGTTTGAGGAAATAAATTCAATAAAATTAGCTCTTGCAAGTGCACCCTCATGTGTTTGTTTTGGGAATGATTTTTTCCTACAGTAATTGAAAATATATTGCTGCCTTCATTTATGCTATGCTTATATAGAAAAATTAATCCTTTGTTTTAAGTTTCCTTAAACTTATGTGCAGGAAAGCACATACATTAGCAGAGGTGTTTGTCACTGTGATCCCCCACAGCTGAGGACCCCTGGATGGTTCTGTGGTGGTGAGTCTGATGCACATGCCATGTGGATGACTGCATAAGGCTGTGCATATTGGGACAGAAAATTTTGTGTGACCAATCAATAATAGCAATCAATTTGTGTGCTGGCCAACTGCCTGTTTCACCCCATGTCATTGCTTACTGATCTCTTTCTGATTGCTTGAGGTGAAGAGTTCAAAATGATGGACTGGTTGATTGCATTCAGTAAGGCACACCATCAGTGTATCCACAATCTGTGGCAGTCACACATCTCTGTTTCACCCTGCAATTCCCAGTAAACCAGTAAAACCAGCCAGTAAAACACACTGACTGGGTATCAGAAATGGTGAAGAGGCTGGAGCACAAGTCTTAAGAGGACTGGCTGATGGATTTGGGGTTGTTTAGCCTGGAGAAAAGGGGACAGATGAGAGACTTTATTGCTCTCTACAACTACCTGACAGGAGGTTATAGCCAGGTGGAGGTTGGTCTCTTTTCCCAACTAGCAAGGTGGCAAAAGATTTGTAAGCTTTTCTTGGTGTCTTGAACCATTCTGTTCAGAAGAGCTTCTGCTGCTGGAAAGGTGCCTTTCCTGAGCAGCTTCCACAGAATGGTTCCTTCATCATGAAAACCTTAGGAGAGACCATGTTTACAATAACACTGAAGAGACATTCCTACTTACCAAAATTTTTATTAAAAAGTACTAGTTTATGACAATTTGTGGTCTAGTCTGAGTTCTACTCCTCTTGACCACCAACATACCTGCTGGCAAGTGTTTTGGAAGTTCAGATTACCTCTGGGAATTCTCTCTGAAGGTTTTCAACATATTCTTCTTCATTCTACTTAGTAACTAACTTTTTTGGAAAGATGCAACTATGCTCTTTCATATGAACAAGAAAATAGAGAAAGACATTACCCTGTTGGACAAAATTTGTTCCTGCTTTAACACAGTCAATCTGATACATGAATAAATGGGCAAGTTATTTTTCTGTCGAGTAGAATGAAAGTAAACTGAACTGTAAACTTGATATTAATCTAAAAATGAGGATATCATTATCTGCTGCTGCATATTTAAAGAAAGAAGAGTTGTTGTCATTGGTAGGAAATTTTACAGAAAAAAAATTTATTACTTTGCAGATCACAGTGGAATCCAGACACTGCTATGCACGAAGGACACATTGTCTCAGCACAGGAGCTGAGAGTACTCTTGCAACCTCTTTTTACCCAGAACTCCAGAAACCTCGTCTTGTTCCTGCAAGATAGGGTAAGTAACATCAATTCCTTTTCTCTCACCAATGCTGAGTACAAGACTGTACCTGAATGAGATGCTGTGGCTCCTTCTCACCAACCTACTGTCTTTGTTTTTCAGCTTAGCATAGATGATTTCACATACCTCACTGAATCCTATGGCAACAAGAATCCATTTCAAAATGTTCAGGCAAGCATTTCTCTCTTTTATTTCTTCATATGCAGTTATTTAAAATTAAAAGAAAAAAAACAAGTAAGAAAGATGCAAAAGGACAATAATTGGGAAAATGGAACTGAATGGCAGGAGTTTTCCTATTTAAATTATTGTTTGAGATTTTTGCAGCCTAAGCAGATATGTTAAAGAAAATAAACGGAGTTTGCAGATGTGTGCTTTGTAGCTATTTTATTTCTAAAGTTTTCAGAATTCATCATAACTGACAAATTTGCTCTTCAACACACTGCAATTTTCTGTTGTAAAAAACAATATAAACATCAAGACCAAGACCCCAAAATTCTATTTTGAAGCCATAGGAAGAAAAGAAGTTGTAGTAATCAATAATTAATTCCTTATTTTCAGAATTTAATACCTATTTTATTTTCATAGCAATTGAAGATCATGCAGGGACTTAACTGTTTCATATTCAAATTAAGATGTCACTAGATACTGTATTGCTTTAATCTTCATGAAAAAAAATAAGGCTACTTGATTAATTTGAAATAAACTCCAGGAACAGAATTTATAATGGAGTCCTCCTGAGTCAGTCAGCAACTTCAGCTTATGTCCACAGTGAGAAGGTTTACAGATTTTATGCACAGCATCTATGGTTGTACTTATATGACAGTTTATCGAAGTGTAATTAGACAAAATGTTCACACGTGGAAGTCATAAAGATATTCCTGGAGGCAGTGCAGGATGAACAGAGCTATTAATAATGTAAATGGTATCAGAGCACACAAGGAAGTGTAAATTCCCAAGCACTACACAGCAAGCACTTTGTGTAATCAAATACATAAATATTCACACATTACCTGTCTCTACATCTGTACTAGAAATCTCATCTTCCTTGCATGGCTGAAATTGGAGATCTTTATCTCTTTGCCATATAACAGCATTATAACACTGATGCTGAAACAAAAAACAAGTATTCAGAGTATGTACATGGGTTTTCTGAGGAACGAATGGGAGTCATAACAATTTGTACTCTGAGGATCAGTGGTTGCATCCGCAGGCAAGTGCACTGGTACTTCTCTGGTATGTCTTATCTTCTCTGGGTTTAACATCTCTACAAGGCTGCGTCTGGAGCAAATTTTTGTTGCTGCCTGGCTGCAAAACTGGTTTAATTTCATAAGTTATGTGAAATGCACTGCAATGCGTGGCATTGCAAGCTCCTAGTGATGTGGTGGTCTTATTTAAAGAGGACTTGGATGTTTAAGAGAAGGGATATAAAAGTATTTAAAACTTTCTTCTTCTGCCTTGTAATCAGGACTCCATCAGTACTGTAGATAGAGATTAGAGGCTCTAAAGGCTAGAGATGAGTCTAGAGACAAATGGGTTTAGAAATCAGGCTGTATGGTGGGTGAATTGGAGACTTACTGAGGGTTAGTGAGGAGGTCTTCAGCTAAACAAAAGGTCATGTTGAAGTAAATCTTTGGTCTGTATATGGCAGAGCAAAGATTTAAACCCAAGTTTTCAACAGTCTGAATAAATGTCATCAACTGTTGACTTTCTGACCCTGCCTCTGTCCCCACTCCATCTTGGAGCTGAGAAATTTTTTCTCATTGTGGCTTCTTTAAAACTGGAAAGTTTTTCTTTTTTTGGACAAATTGCTCACCTTAACTCCAGTACTTCCTAGATTTGTTCTGTTGGACTTTGCAATCTTGATGCTTTTCTAGCATAGTCTGGGGGAGGTGAGGTGCTGTAACATGAGTGAAAGAAAATGAGATGCATAAATTACATTTCTTTTTCACCTACGTGCCCATACAGAGAATTTTGTCAATATCTATCACATAGAGTTTAGTTTTTATTGCACAGGGTTTAGTTCTGAGGTCCAGAAAAGGATCTTCATAATCATCCAGTTCCATATTGGATGTAATAGAGTTTACAAAAATTTGCTCAGTTGCTATTGTATTAGTTGCACTTCACTTGAGATACTTTGGCTAAGAAATCCATTCTTAATCTTGCTATGAAAAATTGTTATAATATTCACACAACACAGGACAAAGTGAAGGTCGAGTTTGAATTTTCTCACTGGGGAAATTAGAATCTTTGATGTTGCATGATCACAATTTTTTTACCTTCACAGTCTATATTATACAAGTGATCTGTTAAGCTACAATAAAAGTCCATGTCTCTCAAGTATTCTCCTTTTGAACTTCAGAAATGCAAATTTATTCATAAACTTAAACTAGAGATTTCATTTAGAATGTATATGTGCATGTAGCAGCATGTGTATTACAAAAAGAAAGTGTTATTTGTAAAAGAGATGTAGGCTTGTAAACCTCAGAGACATTTTCAGATGTTAGATCTGTTCAGCTACATTAGCAGCTGTTTTGAGATTTTGGTATCAATGGGTTTGTATGCTATAAAAGAATTCTATTTTCAGTTAATACAAAAGGAATTTTATAGTTAGATCATTTAACTTGAACTTCCAAACAACTTTTAAATTAAATAATAAAATACAAAGATTAGCATTTGGGGAACTTCTTTGTCAAGCAGTCACCTACCCTACAAACTGTTTTTCTTTAATATTAGCTTTGACTTTCCCCAGACAGTGCTCAGCTCCTTAGAACTGCAATGTATGGAAACAAACTCCAATTAGTAGCCAGCTGTGCAGCAGCATAATTATGATTCTAAGTCATTGCCATTTGTGGTCCTATAACTCCATGGTATCCTCACTCACTGGTCATAGACTGAGTAGTACTATTTAGTCACATGTGATACAGAGGTCCTAGTATAGTTTTGATTTTCTTTCTTTTGTTTCTTTTAGTTTTATTATATTATTTTTTGACAAGGGAACATGCAGAACTGCAAAATAATCAAGATAAAAGTTCATCATAGGTTTATTCGGTGACATGATGTTTTGTTCTTTAGCCTGTTCTAAAACACTACTAATATTTGATTTTTTCAATTCTGGTCACTGTCAGGCTCTGAACTGCCATTTTCAAAGACCTGTTGTAACTCTCAAGGTTACTGAAGGATAACACTCAGTTCTATTACCTACTATTGTGTAGATAAAATTAGATTTTTCTTCTCACCTTGTGCTCCACTAAAATCAATTTACATTGAATCTTATCAATCATTCTGTTGCCCAAGAAGCTGTACCAGAAGTTCCTTCTGTAGTTCATCAGTCAACCCTTGCCTTGAATAATTCAGCATAATGAGTAGATTTCATTAGCTCAATATTTATATTTTTTTTACCAGATAATTTATGAACATATGGAACAGAACAGATTTGAGTGCAGTAACTTCTATTTTTTCTACCCCTTGCTTGCTGTATCTTTACTTATCATTTACTTACCTTCCTGTGAAGACTACCTCTCTCTCACCAAAGCAGCTTCATTTCTTTAGCAGTCATTGCTTCAAGACTGCCAAATACCTTTTGTGGATCCAAGTAGACTGTACGAGCTAGAGCTTCCTAGTGTGCGTGCCTATTGACTCCTTTGGAGATTTTCAGCAGAATTGTGAGGTAAAACTTTTTACAAAACCATGTCAAGCTTTTCCCCAGTATAATCCTTCCTTGTTATTATAGTCTGTATATTATTCTTTGGAATACTTGCTCCCATTCTTGGAACTCAGATTTTCTTCTCTCTAGTTCCTTGGATCTTTCTGTAACCTTTGGGAAAATAAACTCTTGTGTCATGTTTCCCACTATACAGTACAGTAGCATGGAGTTTTGTTCAACAGTGCTTCCTGTATTTGCAATAGACTTTATTAGCAGAAGTACATCAGATCAGTTTTCATTAAAATCATACTGTATAGCTTTATGCATACATTTGAAGGACACAACTACAGTGTAAGAGTTTGTAAGATAGATACTAATTGGAAAGTTAAAATTAAACAATTGTAACTTTCTTTGCAGTTATCACTGTGTGTAGAAACAGATGTCCTTCCTAGTCTGTTTAAATAGATTTTTCTTTTTTATAGATAACCCATTGACCAATTCTGTAGAAAATAAATAAAATACTTTAATATTTTAAGTGACATACAGGTAAAAAAAATAATCAAAAGATTTCTTTTACATGGAAGAGCCTGCCTGCTTCAAACGTAGGTTGCCAGATATTTCTGCAGCTCAAACAGGAGTCTTTTTCCCAACTAATATTTTTTATTATAGGACTGTCTATCAGCTTTGATGCCGAACAAACTAATTCAGAACAATGAGTAGGCCTACACGATCTTTTATGGACAGATGCATAAGTTTTTAACAAAGATTTTAATAATAAGGTTTTAGTGATAGGCCTAAATTTACTCCATTCAAGCTTCAAATGGCTTAGGTGTAATAGCAATGCAGTTATAACACTGAAGTAAGGGCAAGTAATTCTGGGCACAGATTTATCCTAATACAGTTACTTTGGGATAGCTAGGAATGTGGACAGAGTCATCCCAAACCTACCTTCAACAAAACCTGAGCAGTGGTATATGTCATCCAAGAGTGATGTTTCTTATCTATTTCACCAAGGAGATTTCTTGAAGGGACCCTAAAGAAAGTAAATGTGCTCATAATCAGAGTAAGCTGCCCATGGACAAGTTATAGATACTGCATTTAATGTAGGAAGTTCTACTGTCAATCCAACAGTTCAATAGGAGTTTTTTCCTTTTCCCTTTCCCTTTCCCTTTTTCCCCTCTCCGTCTCCCCTTCCCTCTCCTGTTCCTAGACACCATTCTTTAGCACACTGAAAAATCAGGTGTTTCTCAATAGTCCTCTTCATTCTCCACCCACTTTTGGAATTCTCATGTTTTGAACAAGCATGGCAGCTGAAATCCTAAAATGTGTAAAGCAACATAGGGGTATTGTAGAGAAAAGTGCACTGTTGCCAAATGTCAAGATGGGCAAACAAGAGGCATGTGATTAGAATGGCTGAGGCTAAGGAACTGACATCCAGCTGTTTCTACCCTTCAGATGAAAAACAGTTGAATACCAATGGCTGGACACTGAGACAGATGGCAGTGCAGGATTGTTTAGAAGCAGAGGCACAACACAGATATTACTCAGTAATGATGCATTTTATATCTTATTCTACAATAAATTAGTAATCTGCTTAATATATATCCTTGGAAAAAGTGGCTGCTGTCATTCTGGCTGCTATTATGGGACAAGGGATTAAAATACTGAAAATAAAAGAAAATCATTGAAATGCTTAGAATTTCAGCTCTAAATTCATATCTGTAAACAAAACAAAATTCATCACTCAAAGACCTATGAACAAGATCAGTGCTTTCTGCTCTATTTCAATTTCTGCAGTTTTTTATTTATCAGTCTGGCAAATCAGACAATACTGCATAATCCTCCCTTATGAGCATCTATAGGAATGTGAAAATAACTAGCCTTTGCCTAGGAGGGAAAATGTGAGCAATTAGAAAGAACCAAAGCAGGTCAAAAAAGTGGTAGGCAGCCAAAGACAAAAAGCAAAAAAGAACAGTAGGAGGAAGGTGTTAGCAACACTACAGCACTCGCATCAAAGGGAGAGAAAGAGTGTAATAACCTGAATATCTGAATGTTGGATTAAGTGATAGAGTTAGTCTAGACTTAAATGTAGAAAATGGGAAAGCAAAGTTAACAAGTTATAATTAATTTCTCCAAGTCAAGTCTGTTTTTCTTATGACAGTACCTAATGAGTAACCTCTTCCTGACCCATGAGCCTTTTTTTTTTTCTCTTCCTTGTATAATTGAAGAGAGCAGTGACAGAGCAGCTTTGGTTGGCGCTTGGCATCAGACCAAGGTCAAACCACCACAACATTAAATTTGGGGTACATTAATTTTGATAATTTTCAAGTCTTCATCTTGCACTTTGTTTCCACAAAAATTTGAAGTTAATGTTATTATCAAGAAAAATCTTTGGAAATATGTTTTTTGACTATGTGGGTTTCAAATTTACAGAATGAGAATGTTTTTCAATTCATTTCAAGTATTTTTATCAGAAACTCAGCTATGAGAATTGTAAATAAGCTGATAGATACCCTGATGCTTTATCATCTAAACCAATTCAGCCTGAGCTTTATAATTTGTTCTTCAAATAGAAAGTATATGACATGAGCTTTGTTTGTGTGTGTCTGGAGGCTCTGTACATCCTGAAATATGTAGCTTTTGTTAATTAGTACTTACAAATTAGACACTTGTCTGTACTGTGTGCTGTACCACCAGGATGTACAGGGTGTTTTTTATGCAAAGTTACTGAACAGAGCTGCTGGAACTGGAGGTGTTTGACATTGTTCCTTCTCACTTCTGAGGGCATTTAGTTAGAAGGTCATGTGAGCTTTGTTTTTGGCAGCATTCAAAACCTGTATGCTCATCTCCAGTACATTCTTAACTTGAGAACTTCTATATCATCTGTCTCTCCTCTTACACCCCACATGTGGAAAGGACAAGTAAAAAGTTGGTGTTACTGAGTGCTTTAAGCTTGCTGCAAGAATGTTCATGAATAAGAGCAACACAAGTGTCTCTCCACTGCCCCTTTCCAGGAGCAGGCTGCAGCAGCATTAGGCTGGTGAGAATTCATGTGGTGTTTACCATGGTGGTTTCTCACCTTGAATATTAAATTAAGAATACCTAAAAAAAAAGAGAAGGTTTGTGTGTAATTATTAAGCAACTAAATAAACTGTTCATAAATTTATTACAGGAAATTCTTCAGTCTTCTCCTTCATCTTTAGTTTTGCCAGCTGTTGACTGTGAGGCTACAAGGTATCTTCTGAGCTTTCTTCAGGAGTCAGGAGATTGGAAGTTAACAAACGTAACTAATCTCAATGTGTCTCAGCTGGAAGTGAATGCATCCGAAGGAAACTTACTGGTGGTTCAACTACAACCACTTGTCAGGTAGGAGCTTATTACAAACAGAACTGACACTTCATGTGTGCATGAATTTTAGAGCTTTTGAAAACAATCGGTTGCATTCAGGACATTCGAAAACCAGAGTAGAAGTTTATAGAGCTCTTATAAGGGTGAATTCAGGGTTTTTCAAAGTCCCCTGATGAGCTTACCAGATGTAATAGATGAATTATGTTCAACAAGGCAGTCAGGCATGTCTATTTTGTCTGCCTCATTATATGAGAACAAAGGGACAGCTAATAAAACTAAATGGCAAAACACCTTTAGCAGAAAGGCTCAATTATTTTACTCAACACATGATTAACCTGCAGAATTAATTGCTAGAAGGCATTCCAGGGGCAAAAAAACCCCAAACCTGACAGAATAACTAAGCAAGCAGCTAATCATACAGACAAACCTGAAGCTAACATGAATAAAAAGACTGATTTTCATCACTCTGGAAGGAAGAGGTGGGCTATAATTCTTCATATTTCCAGCCCTATGAGGACTGTGATCTAACAGAGGCAGACTGAGACTGTTCCTTCAGGTGAACATATATTTAGAAAATATAAGGCATAGTTGCTCAGCTGCTCCTACTCTTTCTTCTTCCCAGCCTTTTACTTGGGCATTTGTACATCATGACATGCACTTCAGTGTAAGGTGCATATATCAATGTGCCTGAAAGAAGTGCAATTCCAGCTGTCATGTTACTGTACAAAAAGAGGCATGATACTTGTTTTAAGGAGCTCATGGTAGACAAGGGGCCAAGGCCAAATGAAAAGAAAGCTACCTGAAGATTGGTCAAAATAACATCAGTAGTCTGGCTTCTCTGTAGCCTAGGAAGTTTGAGGGGTTTAAGGAATCAGCTGAAGATGTGGTCCTTGTACTTCTAATGGCTTTGCAGAAGAAAAGGGTCATTAGGAGGAAATGAGAGAATGATGGAGGGACTGACACTGACAGTAATGATTTTACTAGTCAATACCTTCATACATTTGTGGTTCTCATTGTTTTTCCTAGAAAAGATTTTTAATTATTGTTCTCCCACTCTTTCTGTAGTGGTTTAAAAGAGATTTCCACCCTAGAAGCAATTGCTGAAAATGGTAAGTAATATGACCAAGATAAAACCAACATTTCATCATTTAAGTCTGTGTTGTCACTGGAGCAGATTGTGTTCTCTAATTCTTGGTCTTTACTTTTTACTTTTTAAAGATTTTATTCCCCCCATCTATAGTACTTATAAGCAGATGATTATCATACTGTTGAAATACTGAGTGTCTGATTCAAAGTCCACCAAACTGGATACAGCTCTGTGACCTGAAATGTAAAGATAATTCATCTCTGCTTCAGGCACGGGCCCTTGCTCATGCTCTGAGTACAAACCATGTGTGTCCATGCAGCTTAGACTGCCTCCTTGTTTCTCACCTTGCACATCGGGAGCTGGAGATGCCAGGCTCCTCCAGCAGTTCCAAGGCCTTGGTCTCAACGGAGGGTGTCTGCAAGAATAAGAAATGTTTTTCTAATCTTTGTAAAACAGTTCATTACCTTTGATATCAAAGTCTTTTATTGGTATTGTGGTTATTAAAGACTACCTGTTAGAGTTGAATCTCTCCATATAACACTATAAAAACGCCTTTTTCTTCCCTAGCATCTAGTTGAAAAAGAGGTGCTATACACCAAAGGGACACTGAGAGGCATCTTTTTTTTTGGAGGGCTTTCACTTACTAATCTAAATTAGGGATTGAGTTATAGAGTCTGCAAATCACTGACATGGTAGTTTTGGGGGTATACAGTTTAACGTAGTGGGCCGATAATTAAACGTGTTATTAGTGCCAATGATTGTTTCTGCTGAGAGCTGGGGGTGTAAAATCAGGAGGAGATTTTAAAATTAAGGAAAAAGTACCTTAGTACCGAAATCATTAGTGTGTCCTTTTCTATGTTTTTGCAGTACTCCAAAATGAGTGGGTTTTATACTCAAATAAGCAGTTGGATTTCCATCTCTGAATGGCAGAGGAGTTATTTTGTTCTCTTTTCTTGTCCCCAGAGCATTAAGCCTTGGTTTAATGTTGGCCTTGGCTAAACATTGGCTTTTTCTTTATGGGACATTTCTTTCCTCAGCTGCACAGACTGTAGAATAAGTCTGCACAGAATCATAGAATGTGCTGAGTTGGAAGGGACCCACAAAGATCATCGAGTTCAACTGCTGGCCCTGCAGAGGACACACCCACGTGCCTCAGAGCATTGTCCAAACTCTTCTTGAACTCTGTCAGGCTTGGTGCTGTGACCACTTTCCTGGGGAGCCTGTTCAAATAGCCAACCACATCTGGGTGAAAAACCTTTTCCTGATATCTAACGTAAACCTCCCCTGGCTCAGCTTCAGGCCATTTCCTTGAGTCTTGTCACTGGTCACAAGAGTGAAGAGAGCAGTACCTGCCCCTCCACTTCCCCTCGACTGCAATGAGGTCTCCCCTCAGCCTCCTCCAGGCTGAACAGACCAAGTGACCTCAGCCACTCCTCCTACAGCTTCCCCTCAAGGGCCTTCACCATCTTCATTGCCCTCCTTTGGACACCCTCTAAAAGCTTAATGTCTAGCTTAATTTAAGCACACAATATTCAAGGTGAGGGCACCCAGTGCAGAGCAGAACAGGACAATCCCCTCCCTCAACCAGCTGGCAATGCTTTGCCTGATGCACCCAGGACACAGCTGGCCCTTTTGGCAGCCAGGGCACACTGTTTACTCATGCCACTGTTGTCTCAGGCCACTTTGTTCTGGAAAAGCAAAGTTAATGGGTGACCTGTGGGAGGATGGAAGAGCAGGCTATGCCTATTCTTGGGTTAGTGTCAGCTAGCTGTTAATGGGGAAAAAGATGTGTGGATCAGGGAAGATGTGTCACTTTGCATGGCCAAGTGCAAAATCTGCACTACTGCTTTCCTGTAGTTATATAATTTAGGGGCTTTAAAATGTGGTAGACAATCTGGGCCCCTTTCCCTGGAGAGTTTGAAAATACTTCATGAGCAAGGTAGAGTTCTGATCACAGGCAAAGGTTTATGTCAACTCTGTTGTCATAAGGGTGTTCACAAAAGCTTCTCTGAATGAAGGAATTGCCTCTAGAATCTTCCCAAAGGCACGAGTTATAGATGCTACTGGTAACTATAGTTACATGTAGCTCCTTTCTGAAGTGAAATGCAAACATGTTATTTCAGAAAGCTATTGGTTTCTTTAATGAAAGAAAAAAGCAAAGTCAATCTATGCACTTTTATACATATTATTTTTTTCTTCTGCAAATTTTAACTGAAACTGATGAGAATTTCCAAAATCTATGAATCTGGAATACAGAATCTATGTTATGTAATGCCTTGGATCTCCACAACCAATATAATTAGTAGTATTAGTAGTTGAGCAGTTGTTTTTCTGATTAATAAGTATATTTCTCACAGTAGATCCTTTTAACAACAATTTTTAGAAGGAAAAGTTTACATAGCTATGATTCTTGACTGATATGAGACAATCAGTTTGGTTAAAACCCTGCAGAAAAAACCAATACATTTGCATTCTTACAACAGCTAAACATTTTACTCATCCAGGAGACCATAATTAGGGTAAGTAGAAGAGGTTAAAGAGGGTAATAATATAAGCTCCATTTCCAGTACATGAAAATAAAACACAATTTCTGTAAAATATAACCTCAAAACCTGAGAAATCTGTGTGTCCAGGCTATTAAATATGCATTCACCAGGGTGGTACATGGATGAAAAGTGGGAAGGCACTGAAACAGTAAATGTGAGTCTGCTTGCTTGTTTCTCTAGCAGTCCAAATAACAAGATTAATAATGGTTCATGATTCACAACTATTATGCTCCTTATCATAAGCAGATGTTAATATTTCTGCATAGAGCTTGAAGACATGTACTAGTTTTAAGTATTTGTTGCAACAACCTGTGGTTTCAGAACTAAAGGAGGATCTTCTGTAGAGGCATAATTTTGACCTCTTTGGAAGGTCCTCTCTTCCTTACTAGACTTCTCCTTCCTTTTCCAGAAATATTCCACCACATTTCTCCTTTGGCCTCCACTGTACTCAACAGTAAAATTTTCTGTATCCTATTGAGGGTGCAGAATCAGGCTTTAAATCTACTGAAGCCAAAAGAAATATTGCTACCAATATTATACATATCATACTCCACACGAAAGCACTATGTTTTGAATATTGTTTCTCAGTGATAAGTTCTGTGTACTTTGTAATTCACAGAATAATACTTCTTAAACTTTGTTATTTATTTATTTATTGGTCCCTTGACTAACAGTTATGCACCCTGCTCTCATCTCTTAAGTGATTTCTTCTGGTCTTGTTTTTATTTGCCAAAAGTTTAAACTTTTGGGTACTGTTTCTATGATACTTACTTTTCAGTTTTTCTGAACTGTTGTAATGTAGGTTTTTTGTATTATTTCAGTGAAATTTTGCATTTTTCTAGACACTGAAAATGTTATCCCATTTTTACCTATTAACCTATAAATGGTATGAGAACTTAAATTGCTTCTATAAACCAAATACACTTAAACATGTAGCTCATTACTTCTCCAGCTATGGTAGGATTTTAGCTTTCTCAGCTGACGGAGTTTGTTGAATGATGCATATTTCTATTTACAGACAAAATAATTGGAAGAGTGACCATGGATCTGCAGAAACGAGGGATTAATTTTTCAGTGATTTATACTGCAGTGAGACCTTCAAGGGTGAGTAATCTTCAGTGCCTAGAACTGTCAGATTTTTATCATTCAACAACTTAGTGTTTATAGAGAAATGCTGTAGATGATTTTCAAGATTACACAGGAAAGCAATTCATATTATATGAGGCTTTGACCAGAAAATGTTACATGAATTTTTATATACGATAGCTATATCACATAACTATAGAAGTTTTGCTATTCTAGGAGACCATAAATCTGCCATTGTCTTTAGAACTTATTATTGTTTTCAAGAACTGCAAATTAAGGGGTTTTTTCTCCATTTAAGTCTAATGGTTTTATAGTGAGTTCTGCATGGAACCTTATCAAGCTTCCTGGAGTGGCTGGTCAGTAAAGACAGTGTTATTAATTAACTGAAAGCTACTAATGTATCCATTTTTAAACTAATTAGTTTCATTCCTTTTAGTAAGTACTTGGTATTTACAGATGGAAGGTAAAGTCTGCTAATAATCAGAACATCATTTATAGATAACATCATATCATGTTAACAGTAAGTAGCAATGCACAATAGTTATTTATGAAGAGTTATCTTTTTGTATGACATTCAGTTTGCAATCAAAAAATATTCAAATTTTAATTTTAATGTGATTAAATGGAAGACAGTTCTGCCTCGAGGAAAACAGAATCCAGTTACCATTATAAAGAGAAACATACGAGGGATGGGCTGAATCTTAAAAAATGCAACTTAGAAAGAAACATGCCTGTCTGTTACAGTGGTAACACATCTCAGCTCCTGATATGGTAACACAATCATAGAATCATTAGGGTTGGAAAGGACTTCCAAGATCTTGGATGATCACCTTTGACTGAACACCATCATGTCAACTAAACCATAGCACTAAGTGCCACATCCAGTTTCTTCCATGCTTCCAGGGATCATGATTCCACCTCCTCCTCTGGCAGCCTGTTTCAGTGTTTGACAATCCTTTCAGTGAAGAAATTCTTCCTGATGTCCAACCTGAACCTCCCCTGGTGCAGCTTGAGACCATTTCCTGTCATCCTGTCACTAGTTGTCTGGGAGAAGAGGTTGACCTCCACCAGGGCACAACATCCTTTCAGGTAGTTCTAGAGAGCAATAAGGTCTCCCCTGAGTCTCCTCTCCAGATTGAACAACCCCATCTCCATCATCTACTCCTCATATGAGGAATTGCTCTCTAGACCCTTCACCAGCCTTGTTGCCCTTCTCTGGACTTGCTCCAGCACCTCAATGTCTTTCTTGTGGTGATGGGCCCAGTACTGGACACAGTACTCGAGGTGTGACCTGACCCGTGCTGAAGTACAGGGGAACGATCACTTCCCTGGTCCTGCTGGCCACACTATTTTCCCTGCATCCAATAAAGGATGGAGATTTTCCTTGGCTCTCCTTTTGTTGTTAATGCATTTATAAAAACACTTTTTATTATCTTTCACAGCAGTTGCCAGATTGAGTACTAGCTGAGTTTTTGCCTTTCTAATTTTCTCTCTACGTGACCTAACGATATCCTTGTACTCTCCCTGAGTTGTCTGTCTGTTCTTGCAAAGATCATAAACTCTTTTTTTCTCTGAGTTTGTTTTGTTTGTTTGTTTTTTTTAAACAAAGATCCAAAATATAAATAAAAATTACTTAGTTATTGTGGCTCTTTACTGTTTGAAAGCAAAGGCACATGGGCATTCCTAGCTGAAAATTGCATTTAGAACAATTGGAATGAAAAATATTTTTAATTAATGAAAGAATAGCGTTAAGAGAAGGAATTTTTTGATCAATTTTAGAAGTTTGTTGAATTTTAAATCTCTGCATACTTCAAAGGCTTTCTATATTAAAATAACTTAGTTTGAGCAACTGAAGCACTTCTAAATAATTAAATCAATGTCTTTTAAGATGTTCTTAATTTTTTAGAAATAAGCAATTTAAACTTTTCTTAATTGTATAAATTCAGTACTGTGGAAAACCATTTGAAACATTTTTTCCCCTCATGACAACTCTAAGTTATTTTACTGCACTCAAGGTACTTCTGTACAGAGCTAGAAAGGCAAAGCATAATGTACCTTTGAGGGTTCATCGGTCTGTACATTTGCACGTAACCTCTTTCTCAGCATGTACTGCATATATGAACTGTTTCATAACCATAAGCAAAAGTACTTATCTCTCTTCACTTAAGCTATACAGTCTCCATTGTATGATCTAGAAGCTACAGGGTCACTCCCCAGTGATAGCCAAGATCAATACATATGGGAAGTAAAAGGCTTTAATTATATTGTGAAAGAGTTTACATTTCTTATTGCATTTGCAAATCAATAGCAATCATACAGTATGAAAGATTTGCATTTAATAAGTTGCCGTACTCCCACCGAATGAAGGAAATCAGCTTTAGGTATTACACTTAAAAAAAAAAAAATAAAAGGGCAACTCCTTCTAGTCACGTAAATTAATTTTATACAATGAAGCTCCCAAAAATGGGCATTTTTGAGATACTTCTCTCCCAGAAGCTCTGCCTCCTTGCTGTTGGGCAGTTAATGTCTTCAGAGCATCATCACATTATATTCGTTTGTTCTTCCATTGCCTCAAGCAGAGAAAAATAATCGTGAGAAATGCATATGTTGGAAAAGGTTCCAGACTGATATTGGCTTCACAGAAAGTGAATTAATGAGACAGGAAGGAAAACTCCCCTATGATTGAGCCTCTTTTCTGATTTGATGAGAAAGAGCTGCTTGGTTTAATCAGTGCAGACACAGATGCCTTTGGGCTATCATAATTATCAGTTCACTACCCCAGTTCATGATGGAGATTTGTTCAGGCTGGCTCTTGTTCTCTCTCAGTTTCACCATGATTGGAGGGCTAGAGCACCTCTCCTATGAGGAAAGGTTAAGTGAATTGGGACTGTTCAGCTTGGAGAAGGGAAAGATTCAGGGTGAAATAATTGCAGCCTTTCAGTACCTGAAGGGAGCCTACAAGAAATCTGGAGAGGAACTTTTTACAAGGGTGTGTAGTGATAGGACAAAGGAGAATGGCTTTAAACTGAAAAAGAGTATGTTTAGATTAGATATTAGGAAGAAAGTCTTTACGGTGAGGGTAGTGAGGCACTTTAGAGGTTGCCCAGAGAAGTTCTGGATGCCCCATCCCTGGAAGTGTTCAAGGTCAGGTTGGATGGGGCACTGAGAAACCTGTTCTAGTGGAAAGTGTCCCTGCCTGCCTCAGGGAATTGGAACTACATGATCTTTAAGGTATTTTTCAACGCAAGCTATTCTGTGATTCTATGATTTGAAACTGGAAGGCAAAATTAAGACTCTGAAAGAGAAACTACTTTGTGACCTACTTGAAATGGCTTCACTAACCAGTTCATGATTCCTTCCATCTTCTCATAAAGGAGCCTCCCTCTTCCAACAAAGTAAGTGCCAAGTCTTGTGTCTCTTGTTCTGAAATGCTTTGCCTTCTAGGTGTGGCTAAATTGGGGTGACACAGAGAATGACTTGTAACACCTAATTCTGGGCAAGTGAAGTGTATATGTCTATATCTGAAGTTATCAACCAGGATTGTCTTTACAGTCAAGGACTTTTTAGGCTATTATCCTTCTGACTGTTTTGTAGGGTACTGCTGCAGAATGAGATGAAATTTACCCTTCATAATCTACTTTGTCTTTGACAACCATAAAGGCAGTCCTCATGCTTAGGTCAGATCTTGACATATATGTTTATTCAGGCAACTCTCACTTAGAATTTCTCATATTATTTTCCATTTAAAAACAGAAACTTATCCTAAGAATCGAGGACTCTCCTGCCAAGACCTTTCTTTCCTTTGAAACTCATTTGAAGCTTATTTTTCCTCTGCAGAACCAAACACCTCTGCAGTCCTTGTTCCACTCTTGCATCAGTAGTTCTCATGAATATATGTTCCTGGGGTCTTTGATCAAGGTTACCCCTCTACTTGTGCTTGCTGCCAGTTATGTTTTTTTGCTTGTGGTTGTAATGCATAATTTTACCCTGCTGTTGTAATTGGAGAGGTTAAAAAAGCTACAGTGATTCCAAGTTAATGTTTCAACTCATAAATCTCATCATGTTTCCCATCCTTCAGATCCTCATGGTGTCCACATAACATTTTTACTAGTTTTCTTCTGAAGCTGCAAGAGAGCTTTATAGCTCTCATCTTTTTCCAGTTAGATTGAATGCTAAGACCATGGATTGCTAAAAGGAGATTTATGACTGTGTCCCAGCTCCCAGCTCTGCCTCCACATTTTCAGACAGCTTCAGCTACCGTCAGCTTTGGGCTGCTTCATTTTACAAGCTTTCTGCTCTAGTCAGTGTTTCTGCGTGTTAAGTCTGATCCCACTCAGAGCGAAGCAATATGAGTTATAGAAACTTTATTCAGCCAGAAGTAACATTGGAAACTGCAGCACAAGTGTTTGCTTTTAACTCTTAAAAAGCGTCTCTTGAGCGTATCCTGAGGTGCTATTGATGTGCACACCAGCTGAAAAGAGTATGAAAAAGTTTTTATCTGCTTTGACAAGTGTTTGTGGTTACATTTTCTTTTTTTCTACCTTCTACCTAACACATTTTTTAAAATGCATCACATTTTGCTCTGCTTCATCTTCCACTTACATCCATCTCCTCTCTGTTTTGTTGACTATTCCTTTTACCACTCAGGGGAGACTAAATGCCGCAACAGCCACCCCACTGACTTCACAGCTTCTGGTTAGTGGAATGCTTTTGGCCATTTAATACACTCAAACATTATATAACATGAGCTTTCCATGAATGAAATATTAGAAAAATGCTTATAATGCCATTTGCAGGAGTTGCAGAGGTGTAGGTTTAATATCCTCATTCATCCTTGAATACAGGAATTGCCTTATTCATTTAGTCTTATATTTTTATATTTGAAGGAGCAATTATTGTTTAACATAGTATAATAAAGCATTGATGTTTCCAGCCTAAAAGAAGAAATCACAGGATTTCCTCATCCTTTAGTCCACTCCTCTCCCCACTTAAAGAATGCCATTATAATTAAAAATAAG